AGCAAACCAGTAAGGCCCACTTTCCTCCTGGCTGTATCACAATGGGACTCTGGGACAACAAAGCTCATCTTAAGCTTCTCTTTCCCACTTAAAACAGGAGTGGCACTTGCAGCGTACCTTGCACAGTCCTTGAACTCAAGTTGTGCTGAGATCCTCCAACATTGCATGCAGTGCCCAGCTGTGCCCCTACACCAGACTGGCACCTTGTACCTGGCTCTACCACTGAATCATGGTGGAAATCTCCATGCCTCAGTTTACCCATTTGTAAAATAACTGCAGAGCTCACACAGGGGCTGGAAGGCTTGTCTCTGGCTCTGGCAAGCCAGTGGAGATCTTCTGGCTACCAGCTCTAGCAGAGGTGGGATGTGCTCTCAGAACTGGGATGTGCTCTCATTACCAGGATGCAGTGTCACACCAAGTCTCAGTGGGGTGACCTGGAGACACATGGGCAGGGGATGCCAGCCTGCTGCTCCCTGCCTGCCCAAAGGGAAACTCGCCTGGTCCTCACTCCCCTGATCTCATCCGACCACAAGCAGCTTTTCTCGCCACGCTGGAGCCCTTCAAGCTCTGGGCAATTCCCAGGCGAGTTACAGTACAACAAAAAACCCTTTTCAGCAGCAATGAGCCAGAAATGATTGTGGAGGGGAAGCAGCTGATGTCCCACACTGCCCGATAACCCCAGCGGGCGGGTTCCCCTCGGCAGCATCCCTGTCTCCCTGGACACAGAGCCAAGGGACACAGCACCTCTTCCCCCACCACTTTCCCTGTGACTGCACTGCAATTTGTGCTAACCCAGAAAGGACCCTCCAGTTTAAGGTGGCTCTTAGTGGAGGCATTTTGAGACAGCTGCTTTCTGGGGAAAACATTCCTTAAAATACAGCTCCCTCCTGCCTCACCCCCAGCTTCTGACATTTCAGAGCTCCAAGAAAAGAAAATGTATCAAAAAATAATAATAAAAAAAAGAAATATATATATAAAAAAATCTAATTTTCAGCTTTGGAGACACAGAACTGAGAGGCAGGGGGAGCTGGTTTCCAAGCGCCCAGGCGGGAGATGAAAAGAGCAGCAGCGGCTGCTAACAGGAAGTACAAAATGAGGCAAGAAGGGCGTTTTGTTGAGCTGGTCATCCAAGACCTGGATTTGATGGATGCTGGGAGGCTGCAAATGAGGCTCCTTGTGGAGGGAGAGATCCCTGGCTGGAGTGGGAAGTGATTCCCACACTCTCTGCTGCAAAATCTGCTCACTGCTTAGCACAGCCCCTGGTCCAGCCCCAACCCAGCCCCGGGGCTGCAGGGTGATGGGCTGAGGGTTGTTTTGCAGGCAATGCCCCCTGCTCTCCAGCTCTAGTGGCTTCTCCCCTCCTGCCTCCTTCCAGCAATTTCACATGGAAATGGTTGTCAGGAGTGACAACATCGGGACAAGATTCCCACATCCATCCCTTGCTGCCACAAACCCAAGGGCAGGATGCTCTGCCACACCTTGGAGATACTGGGAGAAACAAACTGCTCCCCCAGCAGCTGCTGGGTTCCACATTCCTTAGGCTACAAAAAATAATAAAAAAATCAGTGCTGGAAATTTTTTTCAGCAGTGAAAGGAACATGGATTGTTCACATCTGACACGTGGAGGATCCACTGGGTTTATGTCATGTTTTTCATTTGAGTCGGGCAAAAGGCAAGTTTGGGAAGCAAGGGGTAAAGTGGTGCTGAGCCCATGGGGCAGCAACTGAGGTGGGACCAGCCAGGCACCTGCTGCCAGGATGGAGGTGGGGGCAAATAAAGCAATTAAACCGGAGAGGTTAATGGAGCTGTAAGGCCTTGTGAGGCTGCTCTCTTTAGGCAGATGGAATTTAGTCATCTCTTTTGAAAAAACACTTGACATTTCTCCAAAGGAGGGCAAGCTGCAAGCTATGTAACACTGCAGAGACAAGGGACTGCAGGATGCATCTGTCCTTGGCAGCACCAACGCTGCCCTCTCCATCCACAGCTCTCACAATGGTGATCCCAGTGGGAAAACACCTAGGGCAGGGACGCTGCCAGAGGGTTGACTGCTTGGGAGAAGCACACCCGCCTTCTGGTATGCATGTGGAGAGATGCTGTCCTGATTAAAAAGAATCTGGCAGTGTCACTGCTTGTCCCCTGGGACGTGCATCATGGCCACAAACCAGGTGCAACCATTAACGCTGCTGTAAAATGAGCTCCTCATTCCACTCACATCGCACTAGCAAGGGCAAAACATCCCAAACAGGCTTTGGTCTAAGGACAAAGCCCTTCAGGCCACACTTGCTGTCTTGCCAGTGAAGAGATGGCTCAGGCAGATGAGACACAATGCAGGACAGAGAGCCAGAAGAGAGGGATGTTCTCTTGAGGGAGGCGAGGCTGTGGGTTGGCAGAACAATCCCACTGCAGCCTGGGATGAGCAGGGCACATTGCAACCCAGAGAGGCTGAAGAAATCCACCTGGGATTAGCTGAGAGTGACCAAGCCACTAACATGTATCTTTAAGAGGTCACAGAAAATGGGGCCACATTTCAGAAGACCAGAAGCAGACACACATTATCTGCCTTTAAAAAGAAAACTTGGGGGAAAGCCCTTGAAACACATGAATAAGAAACCTCTATGGATGCACACAGAAAGTAATAGGGAATGAGAACGCTCTGATCTGGGCTGTGACCTTGGTGGTGGGTGGACAGGAGAGGAGCAGATAGGACTCATCTTGACTTAGCAATGCTTCAACACTGCCCATCAGGAGATGTTCCCCAGTGTCCTGGGCTGTGCTGAGACCTCTGTGGGGCCAAGATTACCCAAGCAAACACAGGCTAGGTCTGCTTTATCTGATGAGTTTATCTCCCACAAAGGAGAAGCCACAAACTCTTTGGAGAGCGTGGTTTGAACTTGAAGTGGCATGGAGGAACCGAAGAAAAAGCTGGAACTAACACAAGAGGCGACTCATCAAGGATCACGGAATAGTGCCAAGCTTGAAAATAATCAAATGAGCAAAATAACCCAAAGACTTAGGAAATTCTTCAGAGGATCTGAGGGTAGAAGTGAAACCCAAGCTCAAGGTGTGGGCAGCTCCAGGCTGCAGCGGGGAGGCTGATGTCCCTTGGGCATGTCCTTGTGGTGACATGGGCAAAACCAGGGGAAGCCTGGAAGGTAGTGACAAAAATGTTCTTAACTCCAGACAACATGAGCTTTGATGGAAGCTTCAAATGGATGAATCTTTTCCATCTAGAGGACTGAGAGGAGACATCATAGAAACGTGAAAGATACCAGGAAGGAGTGGGACAGTGTGGGATGGGGAGCTGGGGGGGCAACCTGTACCAGGCGTTGCTTTAGGAGCATCCCTGCGTGGGAACAGGCAGCACCAGCAGAGCTGCCTCGGGGACTCCCAAAAACAAGTGCTTATGGAAAAGGAAAGGGGCACATCTGCAGCCTGGGCTGCAAAACCCTACCTGC